GCAAGTCTGGAATTTCTCTTTCTGCACTTTGTTGTACTGTACCATCATGCATCCGAATTTCATTGGACCACATTCACTGAAAGTATAAAAAACATTCTTCAAAATATCTTCCACCATTTTCTTTACTACACACTCTGAATATTTGAGAGCATGTCACTTACAATACATTATTATGCTGATGGTAACAGTAATACTATTCTAATACTATCACTGTAGCCTATACCAGTGAATCTCAACCTTTTGGCATACCCCAGTCCAATTCAGAACCATCCTCAAGGACCCCCAGAACAAAATTGACTCATCTATGTATCATTTGTGTCTTTGTGAGGACCAAATGCAGTCAAGTATAATTCAAGTTAGTTGACTTGTCCAGTATTTCGGCATATCATCAGGTATATTGGATTTTTCTTTCATGGGAACATGTCATGTCAAAATATACAACATTTATACAAAAATTCATACTTTATACAGACCCCCTGGCCTTACGTCAAGGACCACTAGGAGTCCACGGACCCCTGGTTGAGAAACACTGGCCTATACACACAAATTATTTGAGAGCATGTAGGTTACAATGCATTACCATGCCCAAAATGGTAACAACAATACTAGTGTACTATTAGGGCTGGACAATTGGCCTTACGTCAAGGACCACTAGGGGTCCACGGACCCCTGGTTGAGAAACACTGGCCTATACACACAAATTATTTGAGAGCATGTAGGTTACAATGGATTACCATGCCCAAAATGGTAACAACAATACTAGTGTACTATTAGGGCTGGACAATAATTCAATATCAATATGTATCGCGATATAATTTTTTTCAATAACGGTGATATGATTTTAAAACACATTTCAAACACACACGCATTTTCAGTTTTTTGTTTTCTGCAGCAACTCGGAGCACTTTTCATACTCTTTATCCTGGCTGAAGCACATTTGTCTCAATCTATAAGAATCATCAGCCTACACTACCAGGCAAAGGTTTTTTAAGAGTAAGATGTTTTTTTTAGTCTCTCCTGCTCACCAAGCCTGCATTTATTTGATTCAAAGTACAGCAAAAACAGTGTAATTTTGAAATATTTTTACTATTTAAAATAACTGCTTTCTATTTGAATATATTTGAAAATGTAATTTATTCCTGTGATCAAAACTGAATTTCCAGCATCATTACTCCAGTCTTCAGTGTCACATGATCCTTCAGAAATCATTTTAATATGCTGATTAAAATTGGGGGGGGGGGAATTATATAATAGAAATTAATACTTTTATTTAGCAAGGATGCTTTAAATTGATCAAAAGTGATGCTAAAGACTTTTAAAATGTTACAAAAGATTTCTATTTCAAATAAATGCTGTTCTTCTGAACTTTCTATTCATCAAAGAAACCTGAAAAAAATCTACTCCGCTGTTTTCAACATCATAATAATAAATGTTTTTCAAGCAGCAGATCAGAATATTAGAATGATTTCTGAAGGATCATGTGACTGGAGTAATGATGCTAAAACTGAGCTTTGAAATCAGGAATAAATTACATTTTAAAATATTTCCAAATAGAAAACAGTTATTTTAAATAGTAAAAATATTTCAAAATATTACTGCTTTTGCTGTACTTTGGATCAAATAAATGCAGGCTTGGTGAGCAGAAGAGACTTCTTTAAAAACATTACAAATCTTAGTGTAGTGTATGTTAGCCTATAGTTTGAAGTTAAAGATATTAATAATTAAGGTGAATCTTAGATGTTTATTTGACAGTGATTTCACATTTCTTGCTTGTATGAAGGTTAAATACAAATAAAAGGTGAACATTAATTTATTTGTGCTGAAGAGGTTTCGTAGACTTGGCAAATTAATTTTTCTTAAGTTTGTAGGTGCAGACATCTATTGTGGGTGTTCTTGGCCGTTTTTATGAGGCTTTTTTAAATAGTGTTCATATCGATATCAGAATTATATCATATGGACCAAAATTAAGAAATATATCGTGATATAAATTTTGGCCATATCGTCCAGCCTTATGTACTATTAATATCACTGTATACAAGTAAAATTGTCCTCCCTTAGGAAGTATTTTGAGTCTCTAACAGAATCATTGCTGTACAGTAATTGTCTGCTAGGGATCAGCAGAGTGTGCTTGCTCTCATTATGCTTAAAATACACCAGGCCAGTGTTATTACTTTCAAATGAGCGCCTTCTTGCGGAAATGGCATCTCTGTTCCAAAACATTCCTAAAGGGGAAGTTTAATGCCACTCTCAGAAACTCATATTCTTCTAGGAAAGCAAAGATTAAAGCAAAGAGGGCAGAGATGAATCAGAGACCCACAAGAGAATACATTAGACAGTATTAATATTATCACTGTGAGACAGAGAAGATGCCAGTAGCTGCTATGATATATTTTTTCCACTAGAGGGAACACATTCCTGTCTCCAAGACACTTTTTATGAGAAGAAGAAAAAATGGATGGCTGCAAATGAACAGCCTTATTTGATGAGGACCATGTTTTTTAGGAGAAGAACCTCATGGTGAAGGAATGCACAATGATAGCTGGATTGTGTTTTCTAAAGCCAGATAACACCGGACACTGCTCATGACTGGTGTCTGCCTGGATGTCTTGCACAGGCAATTATCTGCCCTTACTAGAAGAATACACCTGTCTGAACCTCAGAGAGTCAGACGCAATCATTGGAGTTACTTCTTTCATAGCAGTGCTTTCCTCCTCCACAACTCCCTAGCAGGTTCACACATGCACAGTCTTCACTGCCTACTCACGAGGAAGTGTTTCTCTGTCTCTTGTCTTGTACAGCAATATATACTCTGCCCCAGGGAAAATTAGCTTGAAAAGCAGGAAATTTGGCCTGATGCTAGAATTAAAGTGGAGCATTATAGGTGTAAAGCATGATAAGTGTTCAGATTATAATATTTAGTCACCTCTTTAAGGTAAAAGCAGGTTATAAGTCGTGACCTAATGGTTAGAGAATCGGACTCGTAACCCAAAGGTTGTGGGTTCGAGTCTCGTACCGGCAGGGATTGTAGGGGGGGGGGGTGAATGAACAGGGCTCTCTCCCACCTTCAATACCACGACTGAGGTGCCCTTGAGCAAGGCACCAAAACCCCAACTGCTCCCCGGGCGCCGCAGCATAAATGGCTGCCCATTGCTCTGTGTGTGTGTGTGCGTGTGCGTGCACACACACACTTTGGATGGGTTAAATGCAGAGCACTAATTCCTTCATAATGCAACTTCACTTCATAATGTTTTCACTGATGGTATTATAACATCAGATATTAATACTGTTTATAACACAATAAGCATATATACATATATATATATATATATATAGCTATAAAAGCAACTCAGCATAAAACTGAAAGATGACTAAAACATTAGAAATAACATCAGATATTAATACTGTTTATAACACAATAAGCATATATACATATATATATATATAGCTATAAAAGCAACTCAGCATAAAACTGAAAGATGACTAAAACATTAGAAGCATTGAGATCTATAAATGTTAGACAATAATGGGTAATTAATTATTTTAGTAAGTGATGAGAATGTAATTTAATTGTACAAACAGACTAACTTAATATTTGCCTATTTTTGTTAACTAAATGTTTAGATTGGCAAGATGACCTATTGGTGGAACAGGTTTCTGCAAGAGATTATTACGTTATTATTGATTTCATTTGAGCCAATGTTCTTCCATATTATCCATGTTGAAATATTTGTTCATTTCGTACATACAAATACAAACAAGAATCCCTCTTCCTATTTGCCAGGTCAAAGGGGAGTCTTGTATTATTATTTTATTTTTATTCATTCATTCATAATTTGAACAATTGTGTTACATTTCACTAATTTACACATCGCCGCCACAAGATTTGATCTCAGAAATCGCCATCCAGGCCAGAGATCCTGTGGAATCCATTTTCCAGGCTTTCACGCACGCTGTGGGACACTTGTTTGATTGACATCTCTGGCATCCAATCATTTCGCGCAAAGCGTCAACTGTGGGTTCTGATCTTCTGGGTATCCAATCAGACGCGCCCGACTGCAAGAAGTCTCTTCATCAAAGTAGGATTTGAATGTAGGTTATGATGAAGTATCCGAAATTCCCCTCCCCTCTATGTTTGCCGGCGAGGTTATGGCTTCTGCTTTGTTTAAATGCTACCCTTCCCGAATAAGAGAGCTCAAGACGTGTGATTTTAATTATTTTTAAAAACATTTTCTAAGAATATTATGTACAGACCCCCAACTTGAGGAAGACGCATTTCCATTGAAACATACATGATATAAAACGCTAGTGGCTGAACCGTCATATATCGTGTGATTAGTTTTTATTTAGTTTTATTTTTTTCTCGGTACTAAAAATCTGATCATCAACTAAATATGGCTTTCTTGTTCTGTAAGAGGTTATGCAACCACAACGGCATGCCTGGTAAAGTTGTGGCTGTTTTGTGTGCGTTTTCTCATCTTTTTGTTTTTAGCACAGCGTTTACTGGCAGTGCTAAGTTTAGTGCGAAATTCACGGAAAGGAGAGGGGCTGCATCTGGCATGAAAACTCTAAATGCTTTGAAAACATTTCCTTAATGTGCCAGCGGCTTTCGCGCTTCGGCATATTGACTGCCTATCTATAAAAGATGTAGCCTAATTGCTGTGTTTGGAGGGGATTTAGGGGTCAATAAGTCTAAGCAGTTACGTACGACATTTACAAACTTATTGATTTTAATGAAGACAGGCTCGACTTCATATTTTAATGTCGTATCAACGTATTTGGGGAGGAAATGTGGAAATGCGTTGCACAGATATGCGTGAAAAGCGGAGGTGTGTCTTCTCTGGTGAAATACCGGCTGGGGGTGTGTCCTTTTACGTTTAGAAATACTTTCCATTGTTCCACTCTATTGCCTTAAAAACACGCCCCCTCGGAGTCCGCTGACCAATCAAACAAAACCGACCGCCTCTCACGCTCCTCCCAGAAATCTATAATAAAGCCTCCTTCATCACATGCCGTCGGCATAAGAAAGCTTCATTACAATAGTGATTGTCGGAGGATACAAGCGGAATATTCTCGCTTTTTCCTGCGTTCTGAATTTTGATACGAAATATTAATTATGGCAGACACGAAGGTTGACTCCGCGACAGAAATCTCCGCAAAGGTAAGCACGGATGTCTCATCGACATTCTCATTCAAAAGCATGTTCGCTCTTTCATTGGTCTTGTAGTTCGGCTTTAACATGAATGTGTAGTTTTTTTTGTTGTTTTTTGGCTGTAACCGGAAAGAATCCTTGATTAATTATTGTAAGTAAACCACGAAGTGTGCGATAACCGCTTTCTACGTGATTTTAAATTGATACATTGTAATGAGAATTTTAAATGGACACATTTGTAACGAGCTCTTTAGCGCGTGCGGAATAAGAGTACATTCAAACGCAATTTCAGTCTGCGCGCGCGGGTTCTTTGTTTATACAAGCGTGTCGGTTCTTCTTTGAACGGCGGCGATATGCGCTGTGGACGGCAACTGCTTTACCGCGATATATCCGTAAACCTGTAATTCCCTGTATTTGGTTTTTCAGATCTTAAATCTATATATGATATGTTAGGTGGACATTTGTTTGTAGGTATGGTTTTACGGCTTCTGTACATTAACGTTCAACAATGTTTTGGAGTACTTGTTTACTACTTATAACCCCCCCCCCCCCCAATTATTATCCCGCACTTTTTTGGCTAAT